TCAAGTCCTCATCGCCCTGCACGCTCCGCAACTCAGCGCATATCTATCTATCAATCTATCTATTTTTTATCTATTTATCTATCTATCTATCTATCTTATTTATCTAAATATCTATCTATCAACTATCTTCTATCTATCCATTCACTCAAATAATAAATCCTGTGACCTTTGCCTTGGTGAAAGGGCATCGATCAAAGATCAATAGGGTTCCACCGCCGCCTAAGGTCCACTCTGCGACCCAAAGTTTGAAGTTTCTCCTCTACTGTTGCAAACAGACAGACAGACACACACATCACACACTACACCACACACACGACACACACTGCAACACGCACGCCCACACGCACACGCACGACGCACACACACAACACATCACACAGCACACGCACACACACACACACACGCGCGCGCACACACCACACCACGCGCCACGCACCACACACCACACACCACAACCCACACACACACACATCACAAACACACATACAAGCACACTAACACACACGGCGCGAAACAATACTGTTCGCTACAGCTTACTGTAAACTACCAGCTCTGAAGTGATTAGTCTGTTTGGTGTTTCATGCACAAAGACGCCGATGATCCGTGGAGACTCGTGTTTTACACAGCTTCCATTAAATCTGTTTTGCTGCCAAGCTTAGTTATTACAAAACTAATCTGGCTGGCAATGTAATGTTAAATAGGGTTTGCCATTCTTATAAACTGATGTAAACTCACCTTGCTTTTACACTACGTGAGGATATAAAACATTAGCTGCGAAGAGGTTTGCCTAGCATTTTTCCAAGATCATTACTACAGTCAGAACCCGTTAGTTAGAAAACTGGACGGCCCAAAGAAAAAAGTAATATTGGATTAGCGGGGTTTCGGTATTAACACACTCAACATTAATATTGAGCGCGCAAATTAACAAAGAACAAATTATGGATTACAGAAGGTGTGGTTACATAGGGTTTTTATTATAGGTATTATATGTATAATTAAGAACTTTTCCGAGAGCGTTAAATTGTTTCAGCAAATGATTACGACATTACGTGCAAAGCTAAACTCCTCATTCATGTACTACTATCATTTACTACCAGTCGCCCGTTTTAGTTACGAAACTGTCGGCCAAAGAAAGTTGGATCGTATTACGGGTTCCGGTATATTATTATTAGCCTGTAATTTGATATGGAGAAAAACAATGGATTTAGAAGGCGCCCGTCCCGAGGCGAGCCTCGGCCTCTCGCGCTCGCTCTCGTATACTAGAGATGAAAATACTGGGACAGACAATTTATACTGTTCAGTAACAGGCATCCTTGTATTATTGTCTTCGTATCCAGTGAGACGATGATACAAGATTTGGCGTGCACACAGCTTTGCTGCTTTCTCGGAATGAGACGCGCAACTTCCGCGGGATATGCGCACGCGACCGCGGGAATGTTCAGAGTATGACAGCGCCTGTCCCCGCAGTGGAGACGTGCGCAATTCGAAGCCCGGCGCTCGGTCGTCTCCACATTTCTAGAGATCAACAATGATAGGAACTTTGTTCCTAAAGTACAGAACAAGTCGGCGGCTAAATTAGATGCAACACTCTCGCCTTGTGAAATTTCTTGACTAGGCTCAAGTCACGGGCGCCTTGTTGGAGGTCATATGCAGACCTATCCACTTTTGAAATGTGGCATATGTGTTTTTGTCGGAACCCAAAGAAAAGTCTCCCTCAATGCGCACCCCCTGCCCTGACTCAATCCACAATCATCGCCGTAAACAATAACACAGAGGATGAAATTCGTAGTTGAGTTTTGTGGATCTTGACGCACAGTGCATTCACGTACAAGCTATTGGAAAGCACAGGCACTGTGGAACGTCTCAAGAAAAAAAAAAATATCTCACCCCAATTTTTTACACAGTGATCGGACCGCCTGTGTGCAAATAAGTGACGTATGTGAAAACATATATACGCGGGTAGTATATACCCTGTGCTACTCTGTCGCTACTCCGACACCACTAATTGTTAAAACTTTTCCATTGCATCTTAAGAAACTTCCCGAGAATTACGAAGGTTATCATCGCCAAAACTCCCGACACCGCCGCATCCATGATGCTACAAAAGCCTATATGCTTAAACAAGGTAACAAACACGCGTGTTGCGAGGTGCCTGCCTCCGATATCCATTTCGAAGCCCGCTAAGCCAAGCATAAAGCGCGCGGGCAAGACGTCACACACACAGCTACGTTCATTGGCTAAAACAATCGAGTAGCGCGGTTAGGGATTTTCGGAATTATTTAAAAAAAAATTCAATGTTCAATGAATGACGCACTTGCCGAATTTTTCCACTTCGATGCGAAATGCATCCGCCGGGCATTTTATTATTTACGAAAAGTAAACAGGCTGGCAAAAGACAGTGGGTACAGTAACGGGTCACGTCGTTGGCGCCCCATTCATGCCCATCAACAAAGAAGGCGGGGCTTATTCTGATTACGGAGATGCGGAAATGCTACAGACCGACGTAGCGCAGTGCGCTTAACAGCGTGTTATTTTCGTATTTGTGGCAAACTCTATCGTAGGAAACCGTTCTAACATAGCAGAATGCTCTAGTTCTTGAGATCGGCGATTTGGTGGTCTAATGGGTCTCCATATTTAAAATTATCAAAGTCTGGTGCGGCGTAGACTGTGATTGGAAGACACAAAGTGGCAATCCTAGGCGCGCCTCGGCATCATGGCCGCATCACGTCAAGTCAATATTTTACTAAAAGATTACTATGAATCGGGCCGGGATTTAGAGAAATCATCGTAGTCTCATCAGCGTAACGAGCGAATATGGCCGCCGGAGGCGGCCATTTCGCGAGTCCAATGAAATCGAAAACGAGTTTATTCAACTACAAAAACTCGTCTAGCGTTGGCTTAATTGCTTTAGTACGGAAGCCACCTAGTGCCGGCGCGGTCACCTTTTTCGATTATTTAAATTTTTTTACCGCGTGGTACCAAATGCAACGTGTGCACGAGAATATAAGATGCGAAAATCTGCATCATATTTATTCTTTTATTCTTCGTTCAACTCACATACATGCATTTATTATTCGCGCGATGACGAATCTCCTATGTAACGCTACGAGCACAATATATAAAGTGCACTAACGCTCGCAAAATACAACATACAACGCGATTAAACCGGAATCTTGCTCTTTTACTCGCTGGCTGGAGTATCATGCCACAGGCAGAGCGAAGGACTATAGTTCTAGAGCTGCATACCAGCCTGCTCACACTGCATCTATATATATGAACACCGCGTGCGGGTGTTGAATACATGCTCATCGCGACGCCTTCCGATAAACACCCGCACACCTACGATAAAATTGATTATTTAAATCTCCCTCAATTTCGTTCGTCCACGCTTTGTCTATGATAGGCGCCATTTTGAATGTCATGTGACACGTTCAGCTATTGGCTGTTCAATATTTATCGTAGAAGATTTTTCTGAGTTCACGCGCACACCACAAAATCTTGTCGGATTACACAAAATCGCTTCAAAATAATCGGTTCAAAATCAAACATGTTTGATTTTGGAACGATCACCCGATAAAAATAATCGTAAGTAAAATCGTCTACAAATGAACGCGCACACCTACCCGATATCGGCTGATTTTTATCGGGCCGATCAAATCGCGTGAAAAATCGGCTGGTGTGCGACGGCCTTATGTATAAGAAACCATGCGGGATGCTATGCAGCACTCTTCCTCGATAGAATTAAACATCGCGCTTACTCTCTAGCAGTGAACGCCGACACAAGGGAAGGGTTGAAAAGGTTTCACGGAGGAGCATCGTCTGTGGCATTTATCCTAGAAGATGCGGATGCAGAAATAATAAAAATGGCTTCTATAATGCAGCAACCAGCCACAGAAGCGGACGCAGAAAGCGTTAAGAATTTAAAATTTGAAAGACCATATATACCTGCTGCACTCGCCTCCTGCAGCTGTGCAGGCAGAGGAAGCCCACGGAAGGTCCTGCAGCTGTGCAGGCAGAGGAAGCCCAAGAAAGGAGAGAAAAAAGAGAAACCCTGGCTTCACAGTACGCATATCTGCTGCGTTCGCTCCCCCATGCTGGCAGCAACCGGTGGTAGATTGCGTAGACGATAACGGGGGGGGGGGCAGCTACGGATATTATATGCGGCCTGCGAGCGTGGCAGCAGCAGTAGCAGCAGCAACAGCAGTAGCAGCAGCAGTAGCGATAGCAGCAGCAGCAGCAGCAACAACAACAACAACAACAACAACAACAACAACAACAACAACAACAGCAGCAGCAGCAGCAGCAGCAGCAACAACAACAACAACAACAACAACAACAACAACAACAACAACAGCAGCAGCAGTAGCATCACATTTCGCTTACAAGGCTAACAGCCTAACAGCCTAACTGCCTAACAGCCTAACTGCCTAACCGCCTAACTGCCTAACTGCCTAACAGCCTAACTGCCTAACAGCCTAACATCCTAACCGCCTAACTGCCTAACCGCCTACCAACCTAACAGCCTAACATCCTAACTGCCTAACAGCCTAACTGCCTAACTGCCTACCAGTCTAACTGCCAAACTGCCTAACAGCCTAACAGCCTAACTGCCTACCAGGCTAACTGCCTAACTACATTGCTAGCAGTCCCCGGCATACACTTCGAATGTTCTTTCATCATAAATGCTCTTAATTAAATAGCGTTAGGGGCTTGAAACAGTAACAAAGTTTCGCGTTGCAACGTGGACATTTATTAAACTCATTCATAGCTACGGAGCGCCATTTACAATATTATCTTTTAAATGCGGACTATATATTTTGTACACTGTTTTCCCAAATGGAGTGCAACTAAAGTTGCTCACAACTTTCCTAAGTTTCTCCTTAATTAATAATCATATACAACGCATAATATCAATCTGCCAAATACAATGCACGTCGTTGCGATTAAACTAGAATTGCGTTAAGAGCCGCACGACACAACATGCACATATACGCGCTCGGTTACAACTCAGCTTCGGGTGGAAATGGCGTGTGACAGTTGCCGTGGTACAAGTTCACCGCTCCGTCACATCGGTTGAACAGTTCGAATAAAGCCGGGGTCATGGTGATGATGCGCGCATACTTGAGGCACAGCTGCCGATTCCACGTGCACGGCAGCGTGTGAAACAGTTCGGGATACTCCATGCCCAATATCGTCACCACTTCTTGGTCGCCGAGATGCGATTTCGTAAAATAGTACTTTCGCATTAAATATCTCAGATTTCTCTCGGCTACCGCCGCCTGATATTTCTTAGATTTCGACATGTGGTCGAGGTTGATGAGGTAGAGGCCGCCATTGTAACCCGGTTTGCCACCAGGTGGCGGCATGCCCAGCCTGTCGTCACCAACAGCCACGCGTGCTATCGCAAACCTTTGATAATATACAGGTTGTTGCTCTTGAGCCAGCGCGAATATTGTCTCCTCTTTGAATTCATCAAACTCTCGCCAAAGTGTCCGAATGTCGGTCATTAATCTCATGTCGGCATCCACCTTGATGATGCGATCGACCTCAGACAGGTCAATGACCTTGTGAAGGGCGAACGGAATGAAGTAAAATATGTCGTTGAAGCGATTGTATTTCTTTCGGTAAGTTTTAAACAACTGCTGAATAGGCCATACGTCGTGTCCTACTTTCGCGACGACCGATTCGACTTCGTATGTCTGCACCTGGTAACGGGCCGTGAAAGTATTCAGTATATTATAAGTTTCTAATTTATAATTTATAAAGTTCGAATTTTTAATTTTCAATTTCTAATTTTTAATTTCTAATTTTTTAATTCCTAAATTCTAATTTATAATTTATAAGTTCTAATTTCCACATTTTTATTTATAATTTATGCTTTATAATATATCATTTATAA